GAAAAACCATACGAGCTTTGTGGACGACTGGTGGGAAACTGTCGTCTGGACATGACATGGCTCTGTCACTCATGAACTCACTGCAGCTGTGGTCACCTACAGGATACCCACACAAGATTAGGCCCAACAATATTTCATCTTAGAAGGTAGAAGGACTCACAAAGCCCCACCCCACCCTGAGGCCAGATGGACACTTAATGGTGGCTGAGAGAAAGAGGTAGCACTTTCTTTGGCGGTGTAACCATTGGCAAGTTGCCCCTGCACCAGGAAATAACCTCCTACCCATGCCCATGAAGGTACACCTATCTAACTCAATGGGTCACTCACCAAAAAGAGACATAAAAGAAGGAAAGGACTATGTTGGGAAGAGAAGGGGTTTCAAAGGAAAAGATGGGGAGATAAGGCAGGGTAGTGGGGGATGGGAAGGGCTAAAACTAATTTTATACATGGAACTGAAATTTTTTAAATTTAATTTTAAAAGATTGGTTTTTTTCTGTTTTATTACTTTAGCTTATCTGAAGACAGTGGTGGGTTGTAGCTCTGTTAAAGATGCTAAAGATAATTGAGAGACAGTGATCTCTCTGTATTTGTTTCAGAATATCTGTGTAAAGTATAGTAGGGTTGGGAATAATAACTAAGTAACTTATCCTTTACCTACTTTTAGATTAGTGATAAGATCAGCAGAAAAAAAAAAGATTTTTCACTTGTATTTTTACAAAATTAAGATGCTTCATTGTGTGGCAGAGTAGACAATGTAGAACGGTTTCTAAAGAAAGGATTCCAACCAGTTATTCCATGAATACATTGAGGTGCTTTTTTTCTTCCAACAATTAAACTGAATACCCAGGATTTTTCTGATCAGTGTTTTTTGAGTGCTTCACTTGGGATGACTTTAGTGAGGGCTTTAGTGAGGGCCTCTTAGAGATTACAGGAAGCTAAATATTTGGCTCCACCTCTTACCCTGTGGTGCTTCCACTGGTAAGCTACAAATGTGAAAGAATGTATCCATCTACACAAAATGACTTATTTTCCTATATTCTAAACAGTAACAAATATCAGGGGCTGGAGAAATAGTGCAATGGTTAATAGCACTGGCTGCTCTTGCAGAAGACTGAGGCTCCATTCCCAACACCAATGTGGCAGCTAACAACTGTCCTTAATTCCAGTTCCAGAAAATCCAACGTCCTCTTCTGGCCTCTACCAGCATTGCACAACATGGGTGCACATACATACATGCATGCAATATACTCACACATAAAAATAATAAAATATTTTAATGAAAAATAATAACATTCTAAACACAGCATTTATTCAATTGTTGTCTACATGAATTCTATAATTCTGTATCAATATTTGGTCATGGCTGAGAGATTTGATTGCCTATAAGTCTCAACTCTTTCTTATTTCTCAAAAATGACATCAGAGTATACAAAGTGTACCTCAGCAACATATTTTCTCTCCTGTAGCATGAATAGACATTGAGAAAAATGAATATTAGAAACTAAAGATTCATTAAAATAACCAGGTCATTAGATTTTAAGTTGCAGCATCATTTTGCCAAAACCCTCTTCTTTCAGAAAAGATCAAGCCTAAAATTTTAAATGACCTATCACATGCCATGACTCTTAGTATTGACTTATGCATGGCATTCTACTAGATAGAGAATTTCAGGTCTGCAAAGAGATACAATATTCCAAAAGGGGATATGATACCCAGCCATGCCTTTATGACTTTATCTTAATATAAAAATGAAGCTGTCCCAAACACTAAGAAGAAATATATGCTAATGACTTAAAAGAACAGAAGATACCTCACAGGGGTACAGAAGCAGCTTTGACAAGCTATCTGATCAAGGAAAAGTTTTTTTTTCATATGCAAAAAACTAGGTAGTAAATATGTGTCAGAAATAAAAATACAAGCTTGTATTTTTTGGAAATTTTAAGTACAAATCTCTAGTTTTGAAAATGTAAAGTACACAGGACAAATGTTGCACAATAGTGTTTTCTGGGCAGGACAGGTATATTGTACTTATGAACTCTCAATGATATGGTTGCCTGAATACAGTCACACCAGTTGGCATGTCAGCATGGATTTGGGGAAAGTTCACAAGACCTCACCCCTAAATGAAGAACTATAGACAAGTAATACCTGCTGTGGGAGGGAGAACCAGCTTTCTTCAGGGATGGCTTCCCCCAATTCTAAGTGGTCAGCCCTAAACACAAACACGTGTAGGCAACACTAATTGGACCCAATAGGTTTTGTGTGTGTGTGTGTGTGTGTGTGTGTGTGTGTGTGTGTGTATGTCTGTGTGTGTGTGTGTTTAAAACAACATCAATTATGAAAGAGGTCATGAATTCTGTAGGGAGTGTGGCATGGGAGGAGCTGGAGTGTGGAAGGGTGGAAATGATGCAAACAGTGACTAATATAAAAAATCCTCAAATATTTTTTACTGAATTTTTGCAATTTTCATACAAAATAGTTTGATGGTGCCTCCCCCACACCTCCCCCACTGCCTCCTGCCCAATTTAAGGTATTCTCATATATATATGACCTATAGAGTCTGATTTGTGTCCCCAAATTTCTTTCACTGTGTATCCATCCACTTTGCCTACCAAGGGCCTATCCCTGAAAGACACTGTCTCTCCCTTTCAAGCAATTGCCAAAAGTTCCTTAGGCTGGGTTGGGATTTTTTTAACCACTTCTTTGTGTCTATACTAGGGTGTTGTGTGGTTTGAGTTTGCATAGGACTTGTGCATGCTATCACCATTGCTGTGACTCAAATATTTTTAAAAAGAAAATGTAAAGTATAAATAACATTATATTGATTATGAATTTAAAGTAATTGTTGAAGCTTTGCTGAAAACCCTCTAATGTTATTCTCTAGATGACTTTATACTTCATGGTCTAGAGACACTGTTAGTAAGAGATAATGTGTGTAATATACCAATGTTTTCTAGCCACAGAAAGAGACTGTGTAGATAGGGATGCTGTTAATCAGACCATTTGTAAGTGTACTAATTTCTCTGAGAAGTAAAAGTACAGAAAGAGGAAAGTTATGGCTTTTGAGTTTGTGATGGTTGTTGCCAACTAAGAATCAAATGTATGCATTTTCTATGAGAAAAATCATGTATATGTGTTTTGTATTCTTTTGTAGAGATTTGCAAATAAAGATCTCACCAAAGATTAGAAACAAAATCAACCGGCGAAAACTCTGAAGCTATGGGATGTGGAAAATCAAAACTGTCTTCAACAAATACTATTGTTTTAGGGGTAAGTGTCTTAGTGACTTTCTCATTCCTGTGACAAAATATCCTGACAAAAACAACTTAAGGGAAAAAGGGTTTATTTTGGTGTATTATGGTGGCAGAAATAGGAAGCTTTTTAGCTGGCTGGTCACATCGAATCTGCATTTAGGAAACAGAGGGTGACCAGAGAGTCTATGCTAGACTCAAGAACCACCCCAGTAACTAACTTCCTGCAATGAGGCTCCACCTCCTAAAGGTTCCACAACCTTCCCAAACAGTACCATCAACCAGGGACCAAGTGTTCAAACATATAATTCAAAGGAGACATTTCACACTCAAACCAGAATAGTAAGATTTAAGTCTGAGTGGTTGAATTCAAGGTCATAAACTACTTCAGTTTAAAAAGTGTAATCTTGGATCTGGAAAGTGACAGATTTGAATAACTAAAAGAAAAAGGCTTTTAAAATGTTGGTTGTGGGGCTGGAGAGATGGCTCAGTGGTTAAGAGCGCTAAACGCTCTTGCAGAGGACCCAGGTTCAATTCCCAGCACCCACATGGCGGCTATAAACCATCCTTAATTCCAGTTCCAGGGGAATCCAAGCCCTCTTCTGACCTCCACAGTGTTGCATGACACAGGTGCACTCACATACATGCCAGCAATATACTCATACACATAAAATAAAAATAATAAATAAAATATTTAAAAGTAAACAAATAAAAAATAAGTGTTGGTTGTTTTCTATAGCTTTTGCCTCGTCTCATGTCCCTTCATGAGCAACTATGCTGAAATTTAAGTATATTGACTGAGTTGCCACACACCAGGAAATACAGCAGTCCAAATGAATAATAAAATTAAAGAGTTTGCTTGAAATAGGTCTATCATTGATTCTTTTAATCACTATACTTTATCTAACTTTCTTAATAAATACCGAGGAACTATGAGAAGCACAGACTTTGTCAGCTAAAAGGGAAAGAACATCTCCATAGACTTCAGCTTTTCTCTGAATTGTTATACCGTGTAGACCAGTTATCTGAGTCGCCTGATTGTTGCACAGAAGTTCTTAACTTTGTGATGACAGAGGACTCGGGGTATAGGATGAAAACTCCTAGTCCTCTCTCACAGAATCATGCAACAATCCTTTACACTTCCTGTTTTGTTTTCTTTCGTTTTGTTGTTCCATTGTTTTTGTTGTTGCATGAGTGGGAGGCTGTGAGTGTGACATCCTGGAACCCACTGACAAGCTCTGAAGTAAGAATCATTCTTTTTCTTTCTTCTATTTTTTAAGTTTATATATTTGTATTTGTATTTGTATGAGTGCTCTGCCTGCATCTATGCAAGTGCAGCCATGTCATGGAGTACCAGTACCCACAGAGGACAGAAGGAATCAGATCCCCTGGAACTGGAGTTATGGATGGCTGTTAGCCACCATGTGGGTACTGGGATTCGAACCCATGTCTTCTGCAAAAGCAGCCAGTGTTCTTAACTGCTGAGCTATCTCTCCATCCCCAAAACTCATTCGTCAATAAGAACACCCAGCTTTTCCTTCATGTGCCCGTAAATTTCCTTATAAGCTTTGGCTCATCCTTCATAGTTAGGGTCTTCTTTTGGGGATAACCAACTGAAATCTATAGCTAAGTGCATGAATATTTTACTTTCATCCTTTGTAAAGACATGAAACACTTTGGTAATTTATGTTCCTTGCTACTGCGTTTTACATTACATCATTTCAATACTCTCTCTTTTCACAGGTTATCCAGATTATGATTGGTATCTATCATGTGCTCATGTGGTATTTCCTACTGTTATTGTATATGGGACAAATAAAAGGAGTATTTGGAACTTATGAACCTTTAACTTACAAAACAGGGACGGCCTTGTGGGGAGTTATTGTGAGTAGAATCCATTTATGTTGATTTTGTTCATCCATTAAATAATATTCATTCCTATAGTAGGATATAAACAAGGTTTCCAGGAAAGTTGTATAATTAAATGCCATTTTCTGACTTATTCAATTTCCAATTCCTTTTTTCAACAAATATATGCTGAGCACCTTTAATTCGTTGACCCAAGAAGTAGGATAGAGGAGTAAATAACGCACAATAGCAAGCAGAGGGTAGACTGTCCCTTGCTATGCAAAGAGAATTATTTTTTCATTTTATTGATATAAGAATTTCATATAATATAATCTGATTGTATTGAGACCCCATCTCCAGCCTTACCTTACCACTTCCCCTCCCCCTGACTTCATGTCCTCTATTAACAAATGAAAGACCCCATCCATCTTACAAAACACATCTGAACTGGGTGCCAGAGAAATCATATCTCATTAGAATGTCAGTGATCTGTAGCTCTTACACACTGATGGGCCAAAGTAAGAACCCACTTCCTTTCCTTTTTCGTGGTTTTGGGTCAGAATAGGCTCAGGTTTCTGGGGATGGAATTTCAAACTTGTTTTCTGCTTCCTCTTGCTGCTTACGATTGTCAACTAGGAACATCCCCCTTCCTCAGTAATCAGCAATGCTTTGGTTTCCTCATCAAAGTCAGTTGTTTGCAACCTGAATGCACGCAGGTTACATATTGGCTGTTTCAGGGCCTCACTCAACACAATCACCCCAGTGTGGTTCAAGGTGTTCTCCAACAGGTTGAGTCCCACAGGGTTTTACTGTGGGTAAAAGCAAAAGCTGGGGCCTCACGGCAGGTGGCAGTTAACTCACAGGCCTCCGACCCAAAATTCTGAGTGGCAGTTGGGATGTGTCAGAGCTTCACACCACAGCTTCCCGCCAGTGTTCTCTAGCTTATTTTCTGAGATCTGTAGACTTCTCAGGTCGCTATGACTGCTGAGGACTGCTGCCAGGTCTTGACAGCTAATGCCAGTGATGAGACACTTTCTCAAACCAGAGTTGTGTTTTCCTGAGACCTGCCAAGCCATCTTGGTTCCTCAGCCACTCTCCCTCTAATTGCCAAGTCTCTTCTCACCTACACCCAGCCTGTCACCTGGGTGATGATGATGGCCAGGTAGACCATGGGTACACTGTGCAGTGGCTACTCACAGGCCCAATTCCCAGCAAGAGAAGCGCATGGGGGTGTGGCATGGTGGGGTGGTCCCAGCCACCTCCTGGCTGTGCCTACCACCTGGCCTCCTTACCTGAGCTTGGCAGCCAAGGGGTCTGGCATCAGGGTACAGGCTATTAGTGTGGCTCTGCCCACCAGGGCCACAAAGACAATCTTAACCACAATGTCCATTAGCACGGTTAGTTTTTATGTTTTCCCTTACCAGCCTCCAGTGTGGGGACTTGGCAAGGTGAGCCTGGAGTGTGAGGGACCATAGAAAGTCAAGGGAATACATTTCACAGGACTTAAAATAAGATCAGCTTTACCATAGCTCTTGAGTTGTCAAAATAAGATGAGAACTGAAGATTGACTACTGGGTCCAAGAATCGGGAATAATTGGAGACAGACCAAGGAAAATTTGAAAGAATTTATTTAAACAGTCAAAAAATATATATTCCAGTTAGCTGGGGCTACGATTCCCATGCCAATTGCAGAGTCTAGCCCTGAGTTGCAGTTAACAAGCATTTTTATAGGGCAAAACCACAAAAGCCATGATCTTTATTCTCATTGGTTAGTTCCTGTGCCCAGGCCACGAGTTAGCATCTCATTGGCTAAATTACTATGGGTTAATGTGTTGCAAGGACTCTGATTGCTATCTTTCTGGCCAGATGTGTTCATACAAGGTTTGCTAATCTTAACGACCAGTTTCCAGTAAATGGTAACTGAGTTTTTCCAGGAAACAGAAACTTAAAGTTTCTGGGAAACTGAAACTTCCTGGGGTGGACATTTCAAAATGGGGGACGTTCAAAATGGAGTTCTCTCTGGTTCCTTTACTTATCAATGTGCTGACCAGTCCTAAACATGACAAGTAGTTTCAGCAAAATGGTGAAGTGAAATACTGACTGGACCTGGTTTATCTAAGGAGAGAATTAGAGAGCCAATGACGACAGCTCCTTTAAGAGACTGCTAAAATGTGGGAAATAGGGTGATGACTGCAGAAATCTGGGCCAAGAGAGATTCGAGGGAAATGGCATGGAAGCTAGAGAAAATTTTTAATTTTTTTTAATTTTTAGTGTTTTGTCTATTCTTTGATGACTTCATACATGTATTCAGTGCACCTTGATCATATCTACCCCTCACTCCCTCTTCCTCCCTTCAGCTACTCATGCACCCCCCCAACACATCTCCCTCTTAGCTTAGTGTCTTTTTTCTATTATATCTTTTGCTGAGGGGGCTGGACCAGAATAAGGAAATAAGTCAAGAAAGAAAGAAAGAAAATAAGTTTATGAGAGATAAGGCAGTAGTGCAGTCAATGCGCTCATAATGAATTTTAACCACAAATAATGAAGATCATTATCTGCAGTGATGGTTCTCAACTAGGTTTAATTTTGCCACTTGGAAAACATTTCATAATATCTGGAGATGGGCAGAAGCCAAGGATGCCAAACTTAGCAATTTGATTTCCCTTTCTTTAGATTTATCTTCTTATTTTATGTGTATGAGTGTCTTCCCTGTATACATTTAAGTACACTGTAGTTTCAATGCCTGTGGAGGTGTCAGATTCCCTAGCTACAGATGGCTGTCAGTTGCATGTGGGTGCTGGAAACTGAACCTGGATCCTCTGCAAGAGCAGCCAGTGCTCTCAACCACTGAGCCATATCTCCAGCCCCTCATTGTGTTATTATTTTACCAATAAAATGATAGTTTTATTGTTTTATTCAATTTTTTATGACAACTCAAGAACTCAAATGATGAATCCTCTGTCTTCCAAGATTTACATACCAAAATGTATACACAGCCTTAAGGGTTTTTATACACCCATTTCCCAGATAGCACCCTCCCATAGCCCCCCTCCTCCCACTACAGCCCTTATACTGATATCCCTGCCACTGTCTGCTATGTTGTCGGCACCCCCAGCCATTCCCCACTACTTGCCATTCTGTGTTATTTTTATAGCATGAAATTAAACACAAAGGGGTGTATCATTTATCTAAGTTTTGCCTGAAGATTCTGTTTTCTCCTATTCTTCCCAAGGCACTGCTTTTCCATTTTTGAGCACCATTTGTTACTAATGAGCCAGTGTACTATTTATCAGCCATGCATAGTTTATTGGGATTTATAGTGCTTGGTCTTCTGAGCCATTGTACGCCTGCACGAAGGCAGAGATCCCCAAGATCATCGTTTCTTCCAGTGATGGCTTACCCTGTTAAGTGATGACCATTTTGCTTCCCACAGCCCATAGACCATGTCTGCTCCGAGCATCGTTAATGTTCTCCTTGTTTTTGTTCCTACTACATTCTCCTTTAGCTTTGGGTCACATGTTTCAGATTCTATCACCCACCACCCTGTGGGTGAAGCCACCTATTGGCCTTCTAGACAATTTTAATTCCTGACCCACTCTCTCTCTAACACCAAGCAGTCCTTGGAGACTTATGCATGGATTTCCTTCTAGTTACCCTGACTGGGTGGTTCTCTGAATCTCTCTCCTCCAATCCCCTTTTTAACACTTTACTCAGATAATCATTGTATTGTCCTTTTTAGAACTTTCAGGTCTCAGTGTCATGTATCTGTACTGACCAGTACTTTCTGTCTAGATCATGTCCTCTGGTATTGAACTTGAACAATCCTTTCACCATCTCATCTGTATTCTCAGACCTCCTATGTCCTGTTAAATTCTTTTTCTTCCCCGTGTATATTCCATAGACAGCCATTACATTCCCTTGTGTCTATTTTCAACTTGGTTCTACCTGTATCTAAGTTGAACAGTTTGAGCAAAATCCTGATTACATGTAGTTTTCCTCCTGCTGCAGGCCTGCATTCACGACTTGAGTAAAGATACGTAACTCATCTCACTCCGTACTCATGTTGCTAGACCTTGGGCTTGTATGAAAGTTAAATTATTATTCATGGGCTCCAATACTCTATTTTGGTCTCTATGGGCATTGTACACATGGGTCCATTCATATGTGCAGGCAAAGCAGTCATACACATAAAATTAAAATAACTATTTCAAAAGATTTAATAGCATAATGAGGGAGATAGTTCAGTCAATAAAGTGTTTGCCACACAAGCATGAAAACCTGAGTTTAATCCCCAGCACCCACATAAAAAGCCGGTGTGGTGACACATGCATATAATCCCAGAAGCCTGATGGGTGGGATGTAGATTCTCTTGAGAGACCTTGTCCCGAAAAACAAGAGGGACATCTCCTGAAGCATGACCCCTGAGGTTGGTTCTGGTCTCCACATGTATGCTCACACTGTGTGCCCTGAGCAATCTTGTCTATTCTTATGAGATCCAGTGGGGAACATGTACAGTTAAATTCCTTGTGGGGTCTGTCAGCTTCAAAGTTTGGCCTTGCCAAACAAAGTGTGTAACATGATTGCTACTTTTTTTCCCCAAAATTAGACTTTTGCCAAAAATCACTAAAATGAAACAAAAATACTTCAGGGAAACTGTGTATTCCACTTTCAAATAATACAGCATTGCTTTGTACTTATTGGAAAATAGACTTCCTGGCATAAAATAATAGAATGTCATTCAAATAATAATAATAATAGGCAAATGGACTAGGGAAATTGTTCACTGGGTAAGAACATTTGCTCTGCAAGCATGAGGCCCTGACTTGAAATCCCCAGCACCCATGTCAAAAGCCAGGTGTGGTTGTGTGTGCCCGCAACCTGACATTGGGAGGTTGGGGGAGGAGACAAGCAGATTCCAATAATTCACTGGCCAGGCAGCCTAGTTGAAACAGCTAACATCCATTCTGTGAGACACCCTGTTTCAGGGCAATGAAGTGGTAGATAGAGGAAGACACCTGCCATTCAACTCTGACCTCCATGTGTGCACACACCTGCACATTCAAGTGCATACACATAATAAAACAAAAACATGAGTACCCTGTGGGCCTGAATGACGACCATGGCTTCTCAATGAAGACTCATATTTTGTGCAGTTACATTGTCTGATGGCCCGGTTACAGGCCACACATACACATGCCCAAATATGGTCCCATATTCAGGAAGGCTTAAGCAATCACTGCCATCAACCACAACCTAATTCCTGCCCACTGTCCTCTGTTTGTGTCTGCTGTGAGAATTCTGTTACTCTCAAGCCTGTTACATTTTGAAAACATCATTACTGCATGATGGAAATTTGCTGTTGTTTGTATTCTGAAAATAATTGAGCTAGAAAATAGAGCTGTTTTAAAGGTATGTTTTAAGTTGGCAAGCATTATCAATGAGTATTTACCAATATATGTTTGGTGTCTAGTTTGTCCTTGCAGGAGCCTTAACAGTAAAGTCAGCAAAATATCAAAGTGGATGGCTGGTAAGTTGAAATGCTTGGGGTGTCCCTAAAATGCACTTTCACAAAACTGAACAGTAGGTTTGAATGAAAAGATAGTGTCAGGGCTAGAGAGATGGTTCAGCACTTAAGAGTACTTGCTGCTCTCGCAAAGGACTAGAGCTCAGTTCCCAGCATCCATGTCAGGCAGCTCACAACTGCTTCTAACTCCATCTCCAGGGAGTCTGACACCCTCTTCTGGCCTCCATGGGCAGCTTCACTCATACATGAATATCTACATGCAGACACACACATGCACATAGTTAATATAAATATTTAAAATAAAGAAAATACTGTGTCTAAATAATAAATGAATCTACCATCCTTATAAAATAAATGTAGGAATTAAGTGAAGATTCCAGATCAAATCAGTTAATGCAGACAAGTATCTTGTACTTGTTAACAATCATGATTACCTTAGGCTAAAGCTCCTAAATTTAAATAATTTTTGTTTTGTTCTGATGTTCTGCCTTTTAGTATTATATGAATGTATGATTTGAAAGGTGCTAATAGGATCTAAATCCTTTCTATATAAGACATTAGAGTGCTATAAAATATTATTTTCTGATCTATGCACTTTGAGGATAGAATTGGAACTTATATCAAAGTAAAGAATTTTTCCAGGAAAAAAAATCTGTGCATGATGTGCATGGAAAGATATTTGGAAATAATTATAATTTTAGACCTGATAGATAGCTTAGAAATCAACTAGCCTGGCAACATACCCTGTTCCAAAAGCCAAAAATGTCAAAAGTATTTAAGAGCTTGTATCTAATCCTTAAAAGATTTTAGGGTTACCTCTTCAGAGGGGTGAATGTTGGAGGGGAGGGAGTGGGCATGGATTTGATCAAAACACTTTATATACATGTATGAAATTCTCAATAAAGTTTTTATAAATTTTTTTAGAAAATTTACAGGTTAAAAAATCTGATGTCTGTCCTAGCTAATCAAAACCTGGGGTCTAAACAAATTATCTCCTATTTGACTTTATTTTGACAAGCAGCCATCATTTTCCATTAGCTTTCTTCCTTTCCTTTATCTTTAAATGCTTTGGTAGAATCCCTTCAGTGTTCTTGCATCTGACTCACAATATTACAAAATACAATATTTTCAAACCCCTATGGAATTAAAAAACTGATAATTGTATGACAATGTGTTTCCCCTGGGATGACTGGACTCCATATAAACCAGAAAACACATTGAATGAATGACAAGCTCAAATACACTTCCAGATCTTCACAAACTACATCAAAGTTTTATTGGATGGGTGGTTTGTTTTTTAGTAAAACCTACTATCCCTTGAAGTGTGTATTCTGAATGTAATACATTTCCCCTCTGTCTCCTTTTCAGTTAACCACTGCCTTGGCCCTGAACATACTCTGCATGATTGTTACACTCCTTGGAGCAGGCCTGACAGTAGCTGAGTTGACTACGTTCCATTCTGTGTCATACAGGAATTACGGACAAGCTGTAAGTAACCAATTCTGTAGAAATATCTATAAAAATAGTTCCTTCTGATGGTTTTGAAGACTTGGGAGGTAAAATTACATATTGTTTGATTTAGTAGTAAGCTCTTGGATGAAAATTTGAATTCAAAACTAAGTTTTTTTAATAAAACATTTACTAAGTCTTTAGTAATAAAACATTGAATTTTTGACTTGCCCAAGTACAATACAAGAAGCAGGGCATATGACGGTTTTAGCGACACACTCTGTGCTGTAGACACAGGGCCATCCATCTCTTTTATTGGGAGTAGTGTTTTCTGAGACAGCTCAGGATAGCTTCAAATTCACAGTACTCTGACTCCTGAATGCTGAGATTATAGGCATGAGCTACCACACACAGCTCCATTGATGAGTGTGTGTGTGGGGTGGGGGGGGTGATACATGTATATATGTGGAGAATAACTTAGGTATCCTTTGTTAGTCACTGTCCACCATAGATTTTGAGATAGGGTCCCTCACTAGCCTCACACTTCCCTTGTAGGTTAGGCTGGCTGGCCAGCAAGCCCAGGGACCTGCCTGTCTCTGCTTGCACTCAGATTACACATAGGCACTAGTATGATTGCGCTCTCTCTCTCTCTCTCTCTCTCTCTCTCTCTCTCTCTCTCTCTCTCTCATCCTCATGCTTTCAAGGGAAGCCCTTTACCTACTGAACCATCTCCCCAATTTCTCCACTGCTGTCTGGTCTCCTCCTTACCTGCAGTACATTAAAGAAAAGACTGCCAGCGGGGAAAAACACAAAAACAGGGAACAGAAGCTGACAGGACAGTGAGATGATGAGATGAAGTGCAATGATAACACAAAATAGATGGTGCATAATGAACAATCATTTAAACATGGCCAGATTCACCCACAAACTATAAGAAAACTCTCCCTGGAGTTGACCTAGAGATTCGAATCAGAAATGTCCAATTCTAACTTTGAGAGTAGAGAACAAGGAGTGAGGTCTTCAGCTATTAAATGTGTAACTGCTTCACTTTGTATTTAAGTCATTGTTCTTTTTTTATGTGTATGAGTGCATTGCTTGCATGTATGTAAGTGTACCCATGTCATGCAATGCCCACAGAGGTCAGAAGAAGGCAGGTCCCCTGGAACTGGAGTTACAGACAGTTGTTCACTGCCATGTGAGTGCTGGGAACCGAACCCAGGTCCTCTGCAAGAACAGCCAGTGCTTTTAAACTCTGAGCCATCTCGCCACCCCCAGGTCCTCTGCAAGAACAGCCAGTGCTTTTAAACTCTGAGCCATCTCGCCACCCCTTAAGTCATCATTCTTGTTGCTAGACTTATACTCATCAGTTTAAGATCTACAACATAATTGACAAGATTTGCTGCATTATTTTGTTTTCCATTGTTATAGCAAAGTAACTGAGGCTAGGCATTTATAAAGGAAACAAATGTTATATAGCTCTTGAAGCATTTGTTCGATCTCCAGCAATGGAGTCATAGAGAGAACACGTTTAAGCAGGATCATTTGGTGAGATGGGAAGCCAGAGAGTGAGGCAAGAGTCCAGTCTTACTTTTCTGAACAACCCTTTCAAAAACTAATCAGCAACCCATGACAACCACACAAATTCCTCCAGAAAACAGCACCCCAGCAGCCTAATGACCTCCCATGAGCTCCCCTTCTTGCCCCTGCCCAGCTGTTAAAACTCCCTGACACCTCATAATATTGCCACACAGGAAAACAACTTTCCAGTATATGAATCATATACTGAAGATGAGGAACATCTTCCAGCCGTATCCAAAACAAACCTGTCTCCTCCACTCAGCATCACATGCCATCAGTCTGTACCAGTCTGATCTAAAAGAGACCCCATATTATCATATTATCAGTCAGCTTCATAATCCCTATCACCACAAGTTTTAGCTTCATTTCCAGTCATTAGTTACCCAAAATGAACTTTTACATTAAACCTGCAAATCTTACATACTAGCTTTGCCTAGTGGCGTTGTCAAATTACAGTCCTATGTTTATTAACATAGCCGGAAGTTTACAAGGTTTTCATATGGCGGCTTTTCTAACATAAGCAAGAAGCTTAGAAAAATCTACCAACTCCAGTTGTCCGTGTCTCCAGGTAGATTCTTCTGTCTCCAAAAGTTCATGCCTCAGAAATAAGTTCCCAGGGTGGCAACATGACTCATGGTCGACTCCAGAACAGCATGTACTATTTATCCTTAGCACTCACTCAGCTCGACCCCTGGAATTTGCTTCCTTGTTACTTAGTGTTCTTAGTATAAAACAGATGAAATGCTAAACCATGCCTGTTGGTTGGCTGCTCTGTTCTTTCTGCCAATCCCCTGGCCTGTTGTTCTAATAGACACCTTATCTTTTCTACTTGGAAACAGGTCTGGCATTACCATCTCAAACTCAGAATATAAAATGGAAATTATTTACCTCTTCAAAAGTACTACAGTATACATGACCACTTTATTTTGAATTCCAGTCCCAAAATCTTGCCCCCTCTCTTTCTACAGTCTTCAAAATTGCCTATTTTTTAATTTATATTTTTTATTTTTTAATATTTTATTTGTTATATTTATCTTATGTGCCTGAGTATATTGTCTGCATGTCTATAAGTGCACCCATGTTGCACAATGCCCACAGAGGTCAGAAGAAGGCATTGGATCCCCTGGAACTGGAGTTACTGATGGCTATTAACCACCATGTCAGGACAGGAACCAAACCTGAGTCTTCTGCAAGAGCAGCCAGTGCTCTTAACCCCCAAGCGATCTCTCTAGCCCCACCTTTATTTAAACTTTTAAATTCAGGTTCTCTTAGTTTAAGTAACAGTAATCACAACCCAATTTTTGTAGCCAAAAACAAAAGGACATTCATTGACTGCAGTTTGCTCCAGATGCTTGACTTGTAGGTCAAGAACTCAGTCACACTCATCTCTGTTGCTATTCCATTTGAGCGTCTCTGCCAGGCATCCTGCCACTTTGGGGGAAGGGTCTGAGAAGAATGGTAGCTTGCTTACACAAGAATGGCTCCTTAGAGTCCTGTCTGCAAAGAGGCCCCAAGTAGCTTTAGCCAATATGTCATGGCTGTGCATCGCTGCCCACAAACGTGGACTCCTTGACCTGGGCAGAGCAAGCACTCTCACCTTTCCTCTTTGTTCTGTTCACATTGCATCAGAGTGAACAATGCCCTTGAGCTACAGCTTGTCCTACTGTTTGCTCAGAGCACTTTGAGTTTCTTACATTCAGTTATCTGCTCGCATTGGCAAACAGGAGGTCAGCTGCTATAGACAGACCTTCATCACTGGTTCTATTTTAGGTCTGTTCTTAAAATTATTTTGCCATACTTTCCATTTATGACATCAAATTCTTCCCAAGGTAAGATAGGTTAAAAAGGAAACAAAAATGTACAGTTGCCTAGAATGTCCTCCCCACCTCATTTTTCCAGCCTACTTTTTACTTCAAAGACTCCACTTCTTTATGACGCATTCATGGATGCTAATGAGTGAACCTCCTCTTTCTTATAATTTTTAAGCAAGCTTTCAATCCATTTGGCATATCAACTTCATCATATATGACTTTATGTCACCTTGCCACTTTTTCTATTTGATTACAAACTCTGAGACAGGAAGCAGTTGCATGTCATCATATGCCTGCTACCTAATCCATATGACTTAATAGCTTTGTGCATATAAAAGACCTGAAATAAAACCAACAAAGGAAAAGGAGAAGGAGGAAGATGAGAAAGAGGAGATGAGAGAGAGGAGGTGGAGAGGAGAGGACTTGTGATACTATTCCTTTAGATGGGAATATCTCTCTCTCTCTCTCTCTCTTTTTTTTTTTTTTTTTTTTCAACAGGTCTTACTATGTATCCCTGACTGACCTGGAACTCTCTACGTAGACCAGGCTGGCCTTGAGATCTGCCTGCAGCTGCCTCCCCGGTGCTGAGATTAAAGGCACTCACTACACTCAGTCTGTGAATATCATTCTTGTCTTTCCACAGCTGACATAAAACCACATTTTTAGGATGTGTTCCAGTATAGTTCACATTACTCACCAGTTGCTTAAGACAACAACAGAAGGAAACCCATTTCATCGATCCTAGAAGGTGCTTCTAACTGAAACATCCTTTGAACTCTGTGTTTCCATTTCATCCCACATTATTTAACAACTATATCTAATAGGAGGCTTTTAGCACCACAAACGTAAACTTGAATTTCAAATTCAAAATGAATAATAGCTGTCTTAATAAATAAGGATTGCTTTTTCAAAAGTCTCTTGCTGGCCATCCTGTCACCAGAGTCAAGAGAATCAAATCTATAAACTGGCCCAGCGAGGTGGCCCACATGCCCATACTCACACAATAATAATAAACAACTTCTTGATTGAACTGGGGCCTGGAGAGATGGCTCAGTGGTTTAAGTGCTTATGGTGCAAGCATGAGAACAGTAGTTCAGATTCCCAGAATCCACTTAAATGCTGGGTGGGCCCTGTGGAAAAACAGAGACAGGGACTTCTGAGAGCAAGCTTCCTAGCGAGATCAGCCACACTGGGGAGCTCTGTGCTTGGCTGACTCAATGAATGAGATGCAAGAGTCATCCAGGACGATCCTTGTCATCAACCTCGGGCCTCCACACACACAGACAGCCATGTGCACATGCACCCACACATATGAAAGCAGAGAGAGAGAGAGAGAGAGAGAGAGAGAGAGAGAGAGAGAGAGAATAGAAAATAGTAACAAAAATTTAACCAAACAGGCAAGATGGCTCAGCAGACAAAAGCAATTGCAAGTCTATGGCCTGAATTTCATCCCTGGAATGTTGAAGGAGAGAACGGATATCTGAAAATTGTCATCTGACCTCTGCATATACATCATGGCACACGTGCACACATGCGTGCGCACACACACACACACACACACATAATAATCACCATCATCATCATCATCTGATTATCTGAAGAGCTTCGATCATGAGCTTTGCCAGAGTCTCTGTAGTTGAGACACTGAGGACACTAAACAGTTGCAGGAACTGCAACAAGAGCAAAGTGATGAAGATTAAGGACAGAAACCACAGACGGTGAATTGAGAAGAACAAAAGGATGAAACAGAAAGCAAGGAATAGAAACACCCAGGGAACTCGAGTAGAGAAAGAAGGGCCCCTGTCCCAAAGCCCTCCGCTTCCTAATGCTTAATCTAAGGTCTCCTCGCAGGAGCATGTGTCCATGTACCAAAGGTAGTGATACTCTGTTTCTCCCTGTTTCCTGGTTACAGAAGCTGGGGAGGGAAGTTTCCCGTATTTTACTGTTATCCTACCCCCTGGAATTTGGTATTGCACTCACGTACTCCATCTACAGCTGTTCAAATTTGGTAAGTGTCTACTCTGCCAGTCAAGATCTATAGATTTCTAGTAAGCATACTCAGGGAAGAGGGAAGAGGTACTCTGCAATATGTTCATAACAATGTAGTAGTACATCATGATATTTTCCTTATCTTTAGTTTTCCTTTGTTTATGAACATAAAAAAAATTAGAAGAGTAATACATGAAACTGTAAATTTAAAAGTTAAAAGAAAAGAAAGGCAACCTCCCATAGCCTCCCCACCCCCCAGTAGAGCCCTTATACTCTGTTATCCCTGCTACTGTCCATTGTGTTGTCAGCACCCCCAGCAGTTCCGTACTACTTGTCCATCTGGTGAATCTAGTCAGCCTATCTAGAGGTCTTTGTTTTAGGAGGGTCAGCTGTTCCTCATCTA